TCTCTAGAATGGTATCGCTTCACTCAAGGTCGTTCAGCTGCCGCGAACAGAAGCGACGGCCCGCTTTCGTATATTGCCACAATATTCAAGGCCCAAGATACGACCGCACTCAAAGAGACTGCTTTGGGGTAGTACAAGGACTCTTCAATCAACCGGACAATGAGGTTGTTTGTAGCCAACCTGTCAACGTCATTATCCTGCCGACACATTGGGATGATGAAGGAACACAATCTTTCAGAGAGCAAATGCCCCGTCACGTAGAATCGCGAGATAAGGTCCGGGAGAAGTGACTCAAGAGAGGAAGATGCTTTCATCGAACCAACGATACTACAACCGCCGCCAAGGATATCGTGCGATCCCTCCTTCAAAATGAGTCAATGATCAGGAGAGTCAAGGAGGAGATAGAACAGGAATGCAGGGCAAACTACCGCTCGTACGTCGATTCAATGCGCTTTCTAAGACGGGTGCTCGAAAGCCAGCTCAAAGGTTCTGGATTTCCGGATCAACATTTGGAAATTAAGCAAAGCTTCAAATATTGAAGTCGTGCGAAGTACCACCGAAAGGGCCTTGGCTAGGTTCCTTGACAACTTTTGCTCGTTTTGCTGGGACACTTGGTGGAACATAGTGAGTCTCCTTGGCTACACCTCTTCTTCTCGACTCTGAGCTCACAGCGGATTTGTTGTATCGCCAGAAACTCATATATAGTCACTAGAATGCCGTACATCTTGAATAATTGACATCTCGTCCCCTCAGCTGAAAGGATCGTTAATCCACGTGGTGAGGGTGTTCAACCTGGTGAGCAGTGCTCATCATTCCTTCCCCCTATGGTGTTGTATGTGTTGACTTTAGTCCTGAAAGAGCATTTGTCTAGTTCACTGGGTCAATAGAATAAAGAGATATGCGACAGTAGTGAATGAAGTTTACTATCCATCATTGCAAACTTTTCTCTGCGTACCTCTCAACGACCGAGGGGTCTTGTCTTCAACGGTATGATAAACCGCCAAATTCGTCGCCCTTTCCTCGATTACCAAAGCTCGCTGATGCTCTTACGATCTCAATCTTCGATTCCAATAATTTCCAAGGTAAGGAACATAGAGATGTAAATATTGGCTTCCAAGCAGTAATGAGAGGCGGCATAGATGAGGAGGTTATCGAGGGGAGGTTAATCCTACGTGCGTACGCAACATGGCCTGACTATTCGAATATCTCAGAGATGCTTTCTGCCAGTCTTCGCCAGCTCTCCTGAGCCGTAATGCGGTGCATACCTCTAAAACTGACATATCGTCATCCCATAAAAGCAAATCTATTGTAATTAATGTAAAATTCTCTGTGATAACTCCATTAACATACCGTTCGTTGTCCAATAACCCACAATTGTCACTAGATCTAGTCCAGGCTTAATAGAATCACTTATTTACTGTGATTTCATCTTTAATGAGACTCTTAATCTGTACATTTCACAGTCATCGTGCTTAAAGCTCCCGAGGGCAATGTGAAGATGGATTTGGGTGATTCGACCACCAACTGGTATTTTGGTCTTATCCATTCCCTCTATAAAACTGCAATGCTTTGACCGACACATCCTATATATCGACAAAATCTCATAAAAATCAACAAATAGTCGGGTATACCTGCTGGAAAGGAGCGACATCAATGATAACAGCGCAGTGAACACCGCGTATGCGCGTTGACTGAGTTAAGCCAGGAATACGCAACGCCGACAACTAAGTTCGAAATCGTGGTTCTTTCAAATGGATACCCAGTCATACGTCACCGTAAGCGGAATATGAACTATCGTTCCTTCTTCTATGAAGTGCTAAGATAATTTAACCCGGGATACTAGGGTGTTCGCCGATAGGCCGCTCGCTGAGAAATCCTGGAGTGAGATACAAATAGATAACTCAATAAGACCTCCGAAAGAATACGAACTCCCCTTCCTTTCAAGGGTTCGACGCACTACGACACAATTGCTTACCTCAGCTTTCCTGCAGATGGTGGTTGTATCGCTACAGTAGACCAAATTCTTACCTTTTTACTCCCATTGGAGATCTTTGACATATCTATTCAATATTTGATACCTTGCCTGCGGCCCGTTAGCCTTGAGACTTCAACGCGTTTCTGTGGTGTATCGATGGCAATCTGGGTGGCCTACACAATGGATATATCCCATAATACCATTTGAATCTGGTAAGATATATGATCCTGAAAGCTATCATGAATGCTAAATTGGACGTGTATTGAATTATCAAGTACAGGCTCTAGCGAGCATATCTCATGCAAGAGAGGCGCTGCGTGTGCACATGTCCTGGTCCGTCCTGATAACGCGTGGTATCAAGAGGGGAACCATACTTTAACATCTAACAAATTCGGCTTGCCCATCCCATCAATATATCGTGACTGCACTATGTCAAGAGCAACACCTCCTCTCGAACTAGACGAAGTTGTCATAGTGTAAGTAGGTAGTTTGAGCCTTATTAAGTGAGATTAACTCATGATGTTTCCAGGCTTATAGGGCGCAGTGGAAGTGGCAAGACAACAGTAGGTCTCAACGGTTTCATCAAGATGCTGTATTCATAGCCGTATAGTTCATAAAGCATCTCACGGGCAGAGAAGATCTTGAAACAGACGCGCTCGATCATTGCACGAGCAAAGTCCAAGCTTATTCGTGGACTTTTGAAGGAAAGGAGATAACCCTTGTAGATACACCGGGACTACGAGCGGATACAAGTCATGACCAGAATGTTATATCAGCCATAAAGCAACAGTATGTGATCTTTCTTTCGTAGATATGCCTGCCAACTCGCTAATTGGATTAGATGCAAGGGATCTGCACCCGCCTTTGTGTGCTGTCATAGCATTCGCGACCCCAGGTTCGACAGACTTGCAAAGGACTCCTACAGAGCAGTACAGGATGTATGTGGTCAACCCTCGAACGTGGCTATTGTCACTACGCATTGGGACCGCGAAGAATCGAGGACATATCAGGCACAAAAAAGCCGCCACGAGAAATTGAGGGAAGATGTACTAAAGAAATGGATTGATAAAGGAAACGAAATCCATCAAAGCGACGACAGTCCATCGGCAGCCAAAGAGATAGTTGTCTCTCTGCTTCAAAACGAAGTGAGAGTAAGAAGGATCAGGGAAGAGATAGTTCAGGAGGAGAGGAGAGGTAGATCCCACGAGAAAGCAGTACAGACTGCGCGAGATAATCGCAAAGCTCGCCTGAAAAGGCAGAGCCTCAGCCCGATGGACCGGTCGGAAGTCGAAGCTGAGGTGAGGATTCTGAATTCGTACGGAGTCAAGAGTCATTGGAGTCTCTCCTTCTTTTCACTTCGCTAGACTAACTTCGTAGTGATATGCGAATGCACGCCGTCATAAACTAGCTTACTGGGTGGCGCACTCTCTATGCAGGGCATTGTAGCTTGTGTAATACATCAGTCGTGTTAACTTAGATTGGTTTGTCCTAAGAGACCAGTTACCAGATTTGCACTCGGGGAATAAGAATGGACGATGGTGTTGTATTGCTTTAAAAACTCTCAGTTTATTGATAAGAGATGTGAGTAATGTATGTCTCCCTTCGTTGGTCTCAGCTAAGGCGGGGTAGGCCCAAGTCTGAATGGAAAGAACACAACTTCGACCCTTCCAAAATCCTAGCCTTTCATTCCCGACCTGACGGGTGCCAGAAAACTGGTTCGATGATTATCACGGGATAAAGAACTCTTTGTGAAACACTTGCAAGATTCGCGGCCACTATGCTGCCTCACCTGTAACTTTTGGGTTGGTTTTTGGTGCGTGATACACAGCACTCGGGGAGTCCCTCGTAGTTGGCCACATATGATGGCCACATCTGTATCCATTGAAAGAGCTCATTCTGAAGTTCCTAGGTAATCGACATAGTCAAGTGGAGTTCAGACGTTACCGACTCTTAGGGGCTAAAAGGACGACTTAACAACTTGACTTTGGCCAGAACAGGCTCATAAAAGTATGTTATTCGCTCAAATATCATCGTCGTATCTCTAAGGTTAACCAACCTCACTAAGTCAATGAAATGGCGCACACACGGTTCTTGCCTATTCATCTGGAATACGGTCATCTTGACGGTTCAAGGGAAGTGAAGTTGCGGCGTTCAACCTCCCTGTGAGCGCCTCTTCAGGAGCAACTTTTACAAGAGGTGCAAGTGACTGGAGGGAGGGCTCAATACGCACTCTAATCACTCCACGGCTTTACCAAGGGAATTCGCTTTTGCCTTCATCGCGTAGATTGGACAGGACGGGTATTCTCTTCGAGATTGCAATGCAACTTGTCAGAATGGTAAATCTTTCTGGAAGTCTGATAGATGTTGGTTTCAGTCG